GTGCGGGCGCGACACTGAGGGTTGCGGTCCGTTGCCGGACACAAAAAAAAAGACAAAAAAAAAAAAAAAGTTTACACGCTGTATGACTCTGTATATAACATTCTTGAAATAACAAAAATTATAGAGATGGGAAACAGATTGGTGGTTGCCAGGTGTTAGGGATGGTGGGAAAAAGGAAAATGTGACCATAAAGCAAGTCTTGTGGTAGAATAGTTCTGTATCTTGATTGTGGTGTTTACACAAATATACATGTGATAAAACTGCATATAACTATAGAGACACACAAATGAATCTGTAATTATTTCAAAATAAAAATTTAAAACAAAAATGGGGCAGAAGTATTTTATAGCTGAAACAGACATTAGTGTGTTGGTTTATATGTATTTATGAATGATAAAATAATTTAACTTCATAATAAGGAAAAGCAAAATAATCTTAGTGAAAAACTGTCATTTTAGGTACTAGTTCAATCCTTAAGATTTTAGTTGTTATAAGTAGAAAAGTGAAATACTGTATTCTTCAGGGTGCTTAAGGAATTAAGACTGATCATTTTTACATAAAATATGAAAAGAATCAAGGAAGGGTCAACCCGTTTTGAAGCAACTCCATATTCCAAAATACTATCCAAAGATTACACTATGATGAAGTATATTGTAGTATATGATTATTAGAATACTGCCATGGGAAGATCACATCTACTTTCCAAATGTTGCACAGTCATCAATCTGTGAATCTCAACAGAGAAGCTTTATCAACCTTTTTAAAAGGTGACTTTTCAGTGAATAATCATGGCATATATGTGTAAGAAAAATTTTATATAGGACAATTGATTCCTTCATCCATAAAGGTAACAGACTTTTTGCTGTAAAGGATCTGAGAATTAAGGCATATACAGCACATGCAATTGAGAAGCAATTTGTTAAGTATAATATAAACTAACTACTATGAATTCTTAAATGCCAAAGGGACATAAATTTTAAAACAGACATGCCAGCAATTATCCCTTGGCCAAACAGCAAAGGAGAATGAACAAAGAACAGTTTATTTAGATGGGAACAGGTGAAGGCTAGAAAATATTATGCAGATGGCTCATATATTATCAATGGGTATTATTTTCTTTTTTGGTCACTGAAGGAAAGATCATGATGCAATATTCTTATATCCTCTTAACATCTAATACACACTGCATTCATCACAATATAACCAAGGCAAGTTTTAGTATTTTAGAGTAAGAAAATTTTGAGCACTACTACATCTGGTACTTTGGAGAATACAAAAGCGAAGAATCTTCCCTTAAAAAGTTGACAGTACAACCAGGAAGAAAGACAAGTATTCAGAAATTATCAACTACTCATTTTTCCAAATGCCAGCTGTGTTCCTCCTTGCTCCAGGAAGTTTTGCTAGGTCCCTCAAACTTAGATTGTAGCCTTCTTATGTGCTCCCTCTATACTTCCCTCTCCAAGCACTGATCACCCATATCATCATGAATGTATACAACCCTCTGTTGGACTCTGAAGGCAGAAAGCATGTCTATTTTATCTACCATGACACACAATGCCTAGAACATAGTATTTCCTGATACAAAAATAAGGCATGCTGTTATTAGGTGGAAAATGAAGTTTCAAGACATGAATGATCCTTTTTCAGTAAAAATAGGGATAAAAAGTCTAGAAGGCTAAGACTATATACTTATCTCTGGACTGCAGAAATGAGGCCTTTCAGAATCTTCTATATAGTTTGTGTTGTCTGAATTTTTACACTGAGCAATATTTTTATATCATAGATAGAAAATAGTAAACCTTTTTCATTTTGGGAAAAAAACAAGGGTTGATAAAAGATATCTTGTTTTTTCATCTACTACCTCCATCCATTCCCTATCATTGTTCCTTTCTTCTAAACCATATTTTCATCTGTCAGAACTGCTTCACTAATTCTACTTTGCATTGCCCGCTAAGACACAACTTGGTGACGTTAAGCAGAGAAGCAACAAGTTAAAAACAAAAAGCACTGTTTTCTCCAACTCAGGTTTAGATGAGGAAAGGGAGAACTTTTTACCCCATATGTGAATATTTCTATTACAAGAAAATCCTGAATTGGAAACCTGCAGGTCCCTTACAAAGGGGATGAGTTACCTGTTGATTGTAATATTTAGTTTTCAAGGCTCCCTATTACTATACTATAGCAAATGCTTGTCATTTTCTAAACTGAAACTTACGTCTTCTAATACCAAAAACAAATAATGAAATTTAGAATCCAGTTTCAGTGACTACTGTGAAATTCTTCAGCCCTTGATGCCACTTTCCAGTGTTAGCCAAGAAAACTGACATTTTTATTTACCACTATAAATGTATTTAAGTATTACCATTAATTTTTCCTCCCAGAACAATCTTTTCCTCATTCATTTTAAAACAAACTCAACCTATTTTACACAACGATTTTTTTCAGTTTTTCTTTAAAAAAAATATTTGAAGGTTTGATTTTTATTACAACCTGCTGTTTATTCAACACCACTTTGGAGTACAGTATGGACTTCTGAATCCACAATAGAATGCCCATCTGGAAAGCCCCTGGAAGATTCTCTTGGAAACACTTCCAAGTGCTTTTACTTCAGAATATGCTTTTAGATAAAACACCACAATGAATTTCCACTATAAATGTAGGTATACTTGCTTCAATAAAACACTTCTTTTGTTTAGCTAATCTTTTTTTTTTTGGCAACTGACCAGTACGGGGATGTACCACACTCTAACCAAGTGAGCTAACTGGCCAGCTCTCAGCTAATCTTAAATCTGCTCTAAATTACTATTTTTACACTACAAAACTTGGAGACAGAAAACTCTCACATTTTTACTGAATATTTTCTGCATATCTGCCACAGTACCACCATGAAGAAATCTGAGCATTCTAAGTATTTGCTTAAAGAATGGTGAAGAGAAAATTTTTAATAATAAAAAGCATAAATATTAATAGGGGGAATGCCTGGCAGAAGCTACAGCTATTAATAACTAGAGTATTCAAGACTTTCACATTTTTACTGAATATTTTCTGCATATCTGCCACAGTACCACCACGAAGAAATCTGAGCATTCTAAGTATTTGCTTAAAGAATGGTGAAGAGAAAATTTTTAATAATAAAAAGCATAAGTATTAATAGGGGGAATGCCTGGCAGAAGCTACAGCTATTAATAACTAGAGTATTCAAGACTTTCCATAATATGATACTATTCCACTTCTTTAACT